TTTGCACATTTACTTTCTGTTTGTGATTTGTTTCTGAGTTACGTTATTGTGAGCGTGGAGTGCGCTGTGGGAAGAGTGAAAAATAAAAGTGCACGAGCCCCAGATATCGCCGACCCTGTGTCTCCTTCCATCACCTACACTTCACATAGAACCTGATCTGTATCACATAGAGCCTGTGAACTTCGAGTTTAGTAGCTTTCCATAAGCGCTCTATTTTCCGGCGTTTACTTCTAAGGCTCTGAACAGATGAATTTATCCACGGGCAGGGCTTTTTAACAGACACAATGCTTGATTTCATTGGTGCCACTTCATCTAGAATTGTTGAACATTGCCTGTTAAAAGACTCCACATACACATTTACATCACTACAACCTCCTCTAGCTGGCATGGATCAAACAAAGTAGAAAACTTCCCAGCAACATCCTGGTTAAAAACTCTCCTCTGAGCCTTAATTCTCAGAGGCGGGGGGTCCCGTGGTAAATTTAAGTTAAAGAAAAGACAACTATGGTCACTCACATGGACATCCTCCACACTCACATTTACTATCTCAAGACCTAATGAGAAAACAAGGTCCAGGGTGTGCCCCTTTAAGTGAGTAGGACCTGAGACATATTGCGTAAAGTTAAAAGAGTCAGTGATAGATAAGAGATCTGTAGCTGCAATACATGACATATCATCAATATGAAGATTAAAATCTCCAATAATTAAAACTTTCTCCAGCTTGATTATGGAGGATAATCAAGTTGATACCTGCAGGGCCAGGAGGACGGTAAATTAACACACAATAAAATATGTTAACAGAACCGACCTTAATCATCTGTGACTCAAACGAGGAAAATGTTTCACAGTGGATTCCTCTGCATAAAAAACTGTCTCGGTACACAACAGCAAGACCGCCACCTCGGCGAGCCGTTCGAGGTGTCCCAATCGCTGAGCAACCTGCAGGGCAGAGCTCATTTAAGTGTACGGCTTCCTTATCCTTTTGCCATGTTTCTGTGAGGAACATAAAGTCCGTCTTTTCCGTGAAAATAAGATCGTTAATGGCATGCGCCTTGTTTGTGATGGAACGAGCATTCAGCAGTGCTAAACGGAGCGATGATGGCAGACCGGTCTCCTTAATAGCAGGTTGTAGTGGCCGCAAACACCTAGCACAGTCACGTGATTTCCAGCGGTGTCGTGGGACCAATCGCTGGTCAGGCAGGTCGGACACAGACTGCAGTTTCCCAACTGCAAGTCCACCGCCGTCCGGTGGTAACCAAAGGGGATCCCGTCCAGCGGACAGGACGAGCTGAAGGCGACCCTGCGACAGAGCACTCCCGGCACCTATATCCCGAGGAAAAACCGGCAGCAGCCACCGCGGCTGCCGCCTGCAGAGAAGCCCGGGCACCCCCATCGCCGAAGACAGCCTCATCGCGACCCGAACGCCAGCTCTGCAACCCCTTTTCCTTCGTCTCTTCTTAGGATTTCCACGACCCCGAAGCAATCAAATAGGCTGGGTACGCACACCAGCGGAGGTGGAAAAGTTTGACTGTAACTCTCCCAGCTGTTACTGAGTCCTTCCATATACACTCCAATGTACATCAGGGTGACACGATCGTATGTCAGAACAGCGGTAGCACGGTGGTTTAAAGGCAGGGTTAATGTGACCATAAAAGAGACGTACAAACAAATAAAAACGACATAAATGAGACGCAGCAACGGCCATGCCAAACAAAGGCGCCATCTTGCCGTCAGATACATGTGCATCAGATACCTGTGTGTGTGTTTACAGGGGTTTCACGGTTTCAAAGTGGTGGGGGGGGGGGCCTGCAGTAACTCATAGCCCCGGGGCCCAGTGAGCTCTTAATACGGCCCTGATTCTAGGGTGGTTTGGCTCACACACTGCCAACACACATTTATGTTCAAACACCATGTAAAAGTGAATTTTCCATAATAGACCATTTCACAAGATGTAAACAACACTGGTCCAGAAGCACTTCCTGTTTCAGTTGTTTAACACTACATAAAAGCTGGGATAAAATACAACCAACAGAACATTTAAAACTGAATCAAAAAGTTAAACAAACACCTTTAAGATGTTTTCTTTACATGTGAAATAAAGAAAACAGTTACAAACTGAAACAGGAAGTGCTTCTGGACCAGTGTTGTTTACATCTTTTGAAATGGTCTATAGGTGCCCTTTAATTCTTTATTCAGCAATCTTCATCTCCATTCTCAGTAAAGACCACAAACCTGTCAAATCCAGTTGAAGGCAGTGATATAAAATGCTCACTGGCTCTCACCTTCGTAACAGTGACATTGTGTTTTGGTTGTATGTATTTTTGAAGGGGTCCTGAACTTTTGACATTAAAATCTTTGGTCATTGTACTATTAAAACATCCTGTTCAGAGCTCAAAACTTTCTCATTAGTCTAAAAAATATTTTTATTGACGCCAATCTGCCAGAACAAAAGGTTGTGGAATGTTCTACTTCATCACGTAATAAGGTAGCTACACCGCCTCTGCAGAAGAAGATCAACGCCTGCTTCTACATCACTACCTGTCTAGCCCTGCCCACTGATTCAGGCATGTGGTAGGTAAATAACGAGAGAGGAAAATGCAGGTCTATGCAGAAACCAAACAATAAAGTCTTTGCAATGCCTTCCTTCCGATCCAAACATAGGAAAGACTGGATGAACTTTATTTTTTCCAGACTGTCAGTTAGAGCTTGATGCTTTGTTCACTTTATTTTACAGCTGATTAGTTTACAAACAAGGCACAATTCGACGCAGGATTTTCTGAAAGATTAAAACAAAAAGACGATGATGTGCCGACTATGATCCCACAGTAATGTTGCACCACTAGGTATCAGTAACTGTTTTTATTACGTGGTCTCTATTGCTTTGTTATTACAGATAGTTTGATATACACTGAGTATTTATGCGTTTTAATTCTAATGGATGATCTGTGACCAGTGATTTCTGATATGTATTGACTCGTGTACAGGACTAAACTCTGTTTAGGAATTTTGCCAAAACTCCCGTTATAATTATGAATCTCTGATTCACATCGTATTTGCACTGTTAGTTAAGATGAAAGTATTCGTTAGTGTGCAGAATTAGCTATTTCAAATAAGTTTGCTAATCTTTAAGTAGGCACACCTCTTCAAACAGAGTGTTCAAATCAGAAGGCTAAAATCAAGGCTAAAAAAATGCCTTTTATTTAAAAAAAAAAAATTTTTAAAAATCATGCTACCATTATAAGTGCACACCAGGAAACAAAGAAACAATAAAACAATGCAGTTCATCACCCAATGACAAAATATGTGGCTTCACAGAGTGGATAGGGATACGATTTTCAGCAAATAATAACTTAAATTCTGTTCTGTACCTCAGACAAAACAAATATGTTTTGCTGGAGAATAAATTTGGAAATAAATGATTGTTATTCCACTTTTCTGTCAGTTATGTTTTTCTTTATAATTCTACGTATTATTAAAGGGTGATTTACTGCTTTTTTTCTTCGCATGATTGTGTTTATGGGGTGCAATATAACATGTATTCATGGTTTTTCTTTCTTAAAAAGTCTTATTTTTCATAAACTTCACCTTTATTGTCAGCCGCGCTCTCCTTTGTCTCCTGAACGACCTGTTGACTTCCTGAGTCTATGAAACCACTCCCTCAGAAACAGGTAGTGGGCTCAGATTGGTTAGTTTGGGCCGGCGTGTTGTGATTGGCTAAACTGTCGCTCACGTTGTCCGAAAGGTTAACGCCCATTACCTTTACGGGCGAAACGTGCCTGCGCTCCGGTCCAGATGTAAATAATGGTGTCGAACTGCAGTATCAGTTTGAGACATAATCAGAACGAGAAAGCGGCAATGAAGAGAGTCAAACAGAACCTTACCACACGGCTCTTACTAAACGTTTCTGAATGATAATTTGCTAAATTTTTTAACTTTATACACGTTAAAGTTACTGACTGGCTGCTAATGTTATACTCAAACAGCGTTGGCAATTTACTAGGGGTGTAACGGTACATGTATTCGTATTGAAACGTTTCGGTTCGAGGCTTCCGGTTCAGTACGCATACAAACCGAACGATTGCTTGGACCATTTTTCCTGCCGGCAAAATTCGTGCTGACACGGCCAACACAACGTTGCGCAACATCAAATGGCAAGCGTAATGAAAGCAGAACGAAACTGCGCTACTCGTTATGTGCTTCACGGATCGTTTATCAGTTCGGACCAGCAACATCTGTGCAGCGCGAGCCGATCTCGATCAAGCAACAATGTTAATACACAGCGCTAAGAGATCCGGTAAAGAAAACATTTGAATTCGCCACTGAGGTAATAACATCGCTGCAAGATCTAGTGAGATGCATTCACATTTCTCCGTTATTAACCGTAGATCTCTATTAGATCAAACAGCGCTGACGTGGAAACCAGGAGAAACATTGTGCTGTGAATGAACTAGTAATACTTTACGTCCACAGAACAGCAACATTCACCATGGATTTATTATAGTAACACTAACTGGAACCAGTTTGGCTGGAATGGTGAAATGCTTTCAAGTACTTCACACATCTTTTTCCAGCACTTCAAAATTCAAATATTATATAAATAAATATATATTTAAAAGTTATTTTTAATGTGATGACCAAAACATTATTTGTTCATCCTTCAAAGATGACCCCCATTTATAAACCTGAAAGTTTCAAGATCTAGGAAAACTCACACTTATTTAAAAATATTTTTTCTTTAAACAAATAGGAAATTTCTCTGGCATTTCTTTCTTTATGCTGTATCGAAAACGTACCGAACCGTGACTTTAAAACCGAGGTACGTACCGAACCGTGATTTTTGTGTACCGTTACACCCCTACATTTAACGTTTTTTATCAAATCGAAAATAACGTCATAAAGCATTTATACATGAAAAATACGTTTAAAACATTAGTACTTATATACAAAAATCAGGTCCATAATGTTTGTGCGCATTTGGCGTAGACTGTCAGGCATCGGAAGACACAGACTGGTAAGTTGAACTGGTTTATTGAAAAAGATGCACAATGAGGAATGGCAGGTGAGTAACGGGTTGGAGGATAATTGAAGGTATCTCAGAACAGTCTTAATCAAAGTCTCTTATCTGTGCAGGATGATTGGAATCGGTAGGCAGGCTGAAGAGGGAATCCAGAGGAACGGGAACAGGACTGAAGATGAAGGATCAGATGAAGGACTGGAATCAGGTAGGTATCAGGTAAGTAGCGTAGTGGGAGTCTGAGGTCGGATGTGCCGACGAGACCAAACAATGAAGAAGTGAACGGGTGAGTCTTTTAAGGTGCTGGTGAATGAGACGGGGATTGAGTGCAGGTGGTGGTGACAGGTGATGGTGATTAGAATTGCGGGGATGCCGATCGGGTGGGCGGAGTGAAGGAATCTGGCACTGAAGCAGATGTATCCGTGACAACCCAGCATCTTTCCTCGGCCCCGAAGCCTTCCCAGTCCACAAGGTATTCCAGCCCCCCCCCCCGTCGTCGGGAGTCCAGAATATCGTGGACTTTGTATGCTGTCGTCCTCGGAGTCAGCAGCAGGAGGAGGAGGAGGTACATCTTCAGTACCAGACCCTGCAGGGAGAAGAGGATTAGTGTACGGTTTCAATAATGAGACGTGGAATGATGGTGAGATACGGAAGTGAGCTGGTAGTGACAATCGGTAGGTGACTTCATTGATTTGTCTCTGTATGGCGAATGGAACTATGTATCTGGGACTCAGCTTACAACAGGGCTGTCGGAGACGGATGTCACGGGTGGAGAGCTAGACCAACTGCCCGGGTTGATAGTGAGGGGTTGCAGAGCGTCTGGCATCGGCCTGGCTCTTGTGTCTCCGAACAGCCCGCTGGAGATGTACATGGGCTGAGTCCCAGACCCTCTCGCTCATCTGGAACCAATGATGGACTGCTGGAATGTTGGAGGGTACTCCATTCCAGGGGAAAAGTGGTGGTTGGTAGCCGTGTATGCACTGGAAGGGAGTGAGAACGGTGGAGGATTGACGAAGGGAGTTCTGTGCATACTCTGCCCAGGGAAGATAACGGCTCCAGCTGGCAGTATGACCGCAGGTATCTCCCGATCTCCTGAATCTTCCGCTCAGTCTGGCCGTTAGACTGGGGATGGTATCCGGAGGTCAAGCTTACCGAGACACCTAGCAGATTGAAGAAAGCTCTCCACACACAGGAGATGAACTGAGGGCCACGATCGGATACTATGTCTTCGGGGATGCCGAAGTGCCGGAAGATCTGCTGGAAAAGGGCTTCTGCGGTCTCAAAAACTGTGGGTAGACCGGCCAAGGGGATAAATTTACAGGCTTTGCAGAACCGGTCTACTACCACCAGAATGCAGGTATGGAAATTAGATTCAGGTAAGTCGGTGACAAAATCCACCCCTAGGTGTGACCAGGGTCGTATGGGCAACAGGTAGGGATACCAGCTTTCCCTCCGGAAGGCAGCGTGGAACCTTGGCCATGGCACAGACTGAGCATCCTTTGATGTACCGGGAGACATCCTGTGTCATGTTGGGCCACCAATAGCGTTGTTGGATGAGCGAGAGGGTTTGGTGGCTGCCTGGGTGCCCAGAGCCCGGAGATGTGTGAACTGAGTCCATGAGGGACAGCCGGAACCGAGTGGGTACGTAGACCCGTCCCTCAGGACCTCCAGGCGGAGCAGGTTCAGACTGGGTAGCTTCTGCAATATGATCATCCAAACTCCACTGGATGGGGCTGATGACCATGGCTAGAGGGAGGATAGTTTCAGGAACTGATGAACAGGAATTAGGGTGAAACTGACAAGACAGAGCATCCGCCTTGGTGTTCTTTGGTCCTGGGCGATAGGTGACTTTGAAGTTGAAACGGGTGAAGAAAAGTGCCCAGCGAGCCTGACGGGTGTTTAGTCTTCTGGCTTCACATAAATACTCAAGGTTACGATGGTCAGTGATGACGATGAAAGGATGGTTGGCTCCCTCCAGCCAGTGCCTCCACTCTTCCAAAGCGAGCTTGATGGCGAACAGTTCTCGATTACCAATGTCATAATTCTGCTCCGCAGGGGACAGTTTTTTGCAAAAGAAGGCGCATGGATGGAGTCGGAGTGGAGTCCCCTGCCGCTGTGAGAGGACTGCTCCTACCCTGGTGGTGGAGGCGTCGACTTCAACGAGGAATGGGAGCTCTGGATCCGGAAGGACGAGGGTAGGAGCAGAGCTGAAAGACCTCTTCAGCACTTCGAAGGCGATGGTTGCTTGAGAAGTCCAGGACAGAGACTTGGCCCCGCATTCTAGGAGGGAAGTAATAGGAGCGCAGATCTCACTGAAACCTTTGATGAATCAAAGGTTTGAATCACGGTAGAAGTTGGCGAAGCCCAGGAATCGTTGAAGTTCCTTGATGTTGGTAGGGAGCGGTCAGTGAGTGACAGCGTCCACCTTCCTCTGGTCCATGGTGACCCCTTGCGGGGTGATGACATATCCCAGGAACTGGATGGATCTCTGGTGGAACTCACATTTCTCCAACTTCAAATATATTTGATTGATTTACTTTATTAATCCCAGGGGGAAATTTATATGTCACAGCAGCACATAAATACAATAAAAATAAAATAAAAACATAAAAACAACATACACAACAACAACAGGTCTTATACTCAAATATCAATTTTTCAAAGCATTATGACCATGATTATATATATGACCATCATCTACATCATCTTATATAGCACTGATTGTAAAATCTAATTGCAGTTGGAAAAAAAGATTTTCTAAAACGCTCTTTGTAACAGCGTGGATGAATTAATCTTGAGCTGTGGGTACTCGCATAGGCTTGAGATATTTCATTAAGAGGATGATGGTCATGATTAATCATAAGAGAAAGTTTTCCAATCATTCTATCCTGCATTATCTCGTCTACAGTGGGTAACACGCTCCCCACGACAGAGCCTGCCTTCTTTATAAGTTTGTTTAACATATTCTTCTCCTTTTCCAACAATCCCCCTCCCCAACATGTAATGGAGAACAAAATAACAGATGAGACTACAGAATCATAGAATGTCTTAAGTAGTACCTGACGTGCCCCAAAGGATCTCAGCCGTCGTAACAAATGAATACGACTCTGACCCTTCTTATGGACATACATCGTGTTATCCGACCAGTTGAGCTTGTTGTTCAGATATACACCCAGATACTTGTGAGTTGTTACAATCTCAACCTCTGATTCTTTTATGTTTACTGGTACCACTTTCTGAGGATGTCTACTAAAATCAACCACTATTTCCTTTGTCTTACAAGCATTTAGCCTGAGATCGTTTTTATCACACCAGTCCACAAAACTCTTTATTAGCTCCCTATATTCACTCTCATCATGGTGCTTAATACAGCCAACTATTACAGAATCATCAGAAAATTTCTGGAGATGACAAGATTTTGAATTATACTGAAAATCTGATGTATAAAAAGTGAACAAAAATGGTGCTAAAACAGTTCCTTGAGTGACTCCAGTGCTGCACTTCACTACTTGAGACACACAGTCCTGCATCCTTACATACTGTGGTCTATTAGAGAGATAATCAGTTATCCAATTGACCATACCCTGATGTACTCCAGCATTCTCCATCTTACTTCGTAGTAGTGAAGGCTGAATAGTATTAAATGCACTAGAGAAATCAAAGAATGTAATTCTAACTGTGCAGTCCGGGTTCTCTAAGTGACTTAGGGATTTATGCAAAAGGTAAATAAGTGCATCATCCACTCCAACGCCAGTTTTGTAAGCGAACTGTAATCTATCCTCAGCACCACACAGTAGTGACTTTATATGATTTAATACCAATCTTTCAAAAACCTTCATTAACTGTGCTATTAATGCAATAGGCCTATAGTGCGAGAACTCAGTGGGATTTGATAATTTAGGTACGGGTACTACACATGATGTTTTCCATAAAACAGGTATTTTTTCTAAATGCAGACTTAAGTTAAAAATATAATGAACCACCCAGCAGATCTGATCAGCACAGGCTTTTAGAACTCTAGAATTAATACCATCTGGACCTGGAGATTTATTTATCTTAATTCTCTTTAGCCCACTTCTTACTTGTTCAACTGATAACGAGAAACCAGGAACATACTCACGAATGGGAGAAAATGATGAGCTTAGGGCTGGGGATGACGAGGAACTCCGTGGTAAACTACTTAATAGAGAATGTTTAGAATCATTTGACCCAACATTAAATCTATTAAAAAATACATTTAATTCATCTACCCATGTCTGATCACTAGAGGAAGTGTATCTTCTTACTTTATTCTCATGTCCTGACATCATGTTTAGATCTTTCCAGACCTCTCTCGTGTTCTTTTGTTGTAATTTTTGTTCCATTTTTGACTTATAACTCTCTTTCCCCTCTCTAATTTTTACTTTTAGTAACTTCTGTACTCTCTTTTGCTCATCTTTATCACCCACTAGGAAAGCCCTTTTTTCTCATTTAATAATAATTTTAACTCAGTGGTCACCCAAGGTTTGTTATTTGAATAACATTTGATCTTTTTAGTAGGTACTGTGTTATCAACACAAAATATAGATGGTGATCTCTCAAGCGTTGCAGGACGAATCGTGCATGACGAATATGCTCAGGTAGGTTGGCGGAATAGATGAGGATGTTGTCGATATAGATGATGACGAATCGATTCAGTACATCACGGAAGATTTCATTCATAAATCCCTGGAAGACAGAAGGTGAGTTGGACAGACCGAAAGGCATCACGAGATATTAGTAGTGGCCTGCAGGGGTAATGAAGGCGGTCTTCCACTCATCTCCTTTTCGAATGCGAATAAGGTTATAAGCACTACGAAGGTCTAGCTTGGTGAAGATTTGAGCATCTCGAAGTTGTTCCCGGGCGGCAGGAAGCAGAGGAAGGGGATAGCGAAACTTAACTGTTGATTGATTGAGAATCCGGTAGTCTATGCAGGGGCGCAAGACTCCGTCCTTCTTGCTGACAAAGAAAAAGCTGGAACGTAGATGGACGGATGTAGCCTTGTTGTAGCGCCTCCTCGATGTACTCCTCCATGGCCTTCTGTTTCAGGATGGACAATGGGTAGATCTTACCATGAGGTAGTACTGCCCCAGGCAGCAGGTCGATCGCACAGTCCCACGGCCGGTGTGGTGGAAGGGTGGTTGCCAGCTGCTTGTTGAAGACATCCTGGAACGCCCGGTAAGGAGTGGGTATCTCCGGTAGGTTATTGACAGGTGGACTCTCGACGGAGGTGGACGCGAGGGGAACCGAAGATGAAGGAGCAGAGGATGGTCGTGAAGGCTTCTTGACTGGTATGAGACAATGGTTGAAGCAGTTCTTACCCCACTGCAAGATTTCACCTGATGACCACTGGATGTTGGGGGCGTGTCTCTCCAACCAGGGGCGTCCCAGGATGATCTCCGCAGTAGAACCCTCCAGCACCAGAAATGAGATTTCCTCACGATGAAGATGACCGATTTGAAGGGTGATGTCCGGACTGCGATGTCCAATTCTTCCTCGGCCCAGCGGTTTCCCCAGGATGGATTTAACGTGGAGATTGTGGGGAATCGCTCGTTGATGTGTTTGAA